GGGTTTCAGCTTTCCCCTTGGTTAAAATTAGGAAGGGAAAGAAAGAGGGACTGTATTGTTTCTGAGATCCCTTGCAGTTACAGCAGCCTGTCATTCTAATCTGACTCCTTTCACTATCTGCCTGTTCCCAGCAAAGCTTCCTTGTAACCTTGGGCAAGTGAGGTACTTTCAGAGGATCTCAATTTTCTCTCTGTAAAATGGGGATAATAATGTAGACTTTTTTTTACAAAAATGGTTTAGTAATATATCCCATGGCCTATTTGGAAGGTCATAGTACAATCCTATAGGGATCTAAGAATGGCCACCCTGGGCCATCACACACTGAATACAGGTCAGTCACAGGAATGCCGAAGTTTGATGGTGGACACTAGTAGTCCATTCTCCCTGCTGTCTTTCTCCTATCTTCTCTTCCTTTCCTGCCTGACTCTCCTCCATGTGCAACTAGGGTGGGCTTCCCCAAACACAGCTCATGTAGATCCTTTGCACAATATCTTTGTTTTTTTAATTTTTAAAAAATATTTATTTTTGAGAGAGGGAGAGACAGAGTATGAGTGGGGAAGGGGCAGAGAGATGGGGAGACACAGAATCAGAAGCATGCTCTAGGCTCTGAGCTGTCAGCACAGAGCCCGATGTGAGGCTTGAACCCACGAACTGTGAGATCATGACCTGAGCCAAAGTTGGACACTCAACCAACTGAGCCACCCACGCGCCCCTGCACAATATCTTTAATAACTCCCCATGGTGGTCATAAGGGCATAAACTCAGGCAGTAGGGTTAGAAAGGAGGGGATGGATATGAGAAAGATTGTACGGGTAAAATTATAGGAACTGGTGACTGATATTATATGAAGGCAAGCTCTTGCTGGCTATGCTGTGCCCTGGCTCAGAACTGAAATATAATGTCACAGTGGGCTCCTGATAGTGTGGATCGGTCCAGGCATATCTAGGCCAACACAGAAAAGCAAGTGAGATGCCAAGAGGGATACTGGAATCAGCTTTTTTGGTTTTGTTTTGTTCCCCTAAAGTGACACCTTTGAAGAGCCTGGCATTTTCCCTGGTTATAAAAGCTTTCTAAAGGCTTCAGAGAAGCTCCTCCCCTCTCTGCTGGAAAATTTTAGCAGCTCCTCATT